GTAATTCATTTTCGCCCTGTACCTCCCCTTTCCCCACAGACAAAGTATAGGCTTTGAAGCAATCTATCAACCTGGAATCATTTCCAAAATATTCTCCAAGTGTCCGGAAAATAGGTTTGGCAGGTGATTGCTGTAGTCTTTGGTGTTTCGGGGATCCTCGAAGGTAGGACGTTGCACGAGTCCATATAAATTTCTGTTGAATCGGCTTTTGACTCCGAATTTGCATCTGCGTGCAGAAAGTGCAGATGCTTGTGATGGCGCTACCTGATTTGGGCACCAATTAAACTACAAGGAATTACGAATCTTCTCCTGCCTCCTCACTTATTACAAGAGTGTAAAAGAAAAATATTTTAACCCCGACAAAAGTTCTCAGATTCAATAAGGCTAAATTGAGTGGTATTCCTTGACTAACATTTGTGTGAGCTACGGATGGCAAATACGTAAGGGTGGTTATTGATAATGGTAACGTTTGTGACATATTTAAGAGATATGGCTTTTGACCACTTTGATTATGAATCCATTGGGACTAGATTTGGGCCTTTTGACTGGACTAAAATCTATTTTATAGTGGAAAACTTTTGATTGAGACCGCAGAGGGGGATTATGGGAGAAGCATTTTCAGGCCTTTGTTGGACCTCGTATTCACTTTACACAACCCCTTTTGATTTCATTCTATTTAAGCAAGAAGCACATTTACCTGTGCGAATTTCCCCATGAGCCGTGTATATGTCAGCCACCAATGTTAATCGTTGTTTGAGACAAGAAACTTGCATGGATTTAGTTCAAGTTCAGTTTCACTGGCCAAGATATTGTGGGAACTCGATCATGTTAGGTCACAAATGAGTTCTTTATGCAACAAAAAAATTGTGAGGATTAAGCAGTCAGGTTTTTAAAAGCAAGGTAGATCTGGAGAAAAGCTATGCTGGAATGACTAAAGGTACGCAAGATTTCACGGAGTGTGCGTGATACGATATTTTCACTTAAACATTAACTAATGAGTGGCACTTTATGGCATCGTTGGCCTTTTGAATAGGAGTTGCATTAGCGACCAACATCAGCGATTTTTTATGCAAAAAAGGAGATATGTGACAATTTTGATAGAAATATGAGAAACGATGTTAGTATAAGTGATAGGAACATTACGGGAATACTAGTCAAATTTTGTACAGAAGAACATTTACTTCTGCAGACAATGCCTCAAATATTTTGATAAGTGCAAGCTAACTCACTGCTTCTTTGGAAATGGAAAGCCAAAGAGCTTTTGTTGAATTCATCAGAGATGGCAATTTTGATAGAGTTGAAGTCAGAACTGCCACGAATCCCTCAAATTCAATACTTACACGCGATTGAGCCCACCTTCAGCAAATGACTCGAAATTTTGAAGTGCAACTTTCAAATAACAATTATCAAAATTTTGGTAAATAGCCACATACCACGATGGCAAATGATATAATTGACCGCGCCACTAGTGACTAATTTGTATTATTTTAAGGTGGAATGGGAGAAATAGATGCGCATCGGGCAATATAAGCCACTAAGGCAGTAAATAAATAAAATAGTCACGTTCCAAAATTCAAAGTGCACGATCCGTCCCCTGGATTGCAGAAAATTCTTGACTCCAATGCTAAAAGCTTTTAGACTGGGTTTAAATTTAGAATAGTCGGTCTTGGGACTGGAATTCACTTCTTCCAATAAATCTTGAGGAGACATAATTTCCAACACCTTAAGATAATCGGTTGTCTAAAATTAACAAAGGTTCATAAGTTATATTCACTCATGATGAATTATGTTGGAAACGGCTTTTCCAGATGATTGAGGCGACGATTCATGGAAGTTGTAGGTAAGAAAAGATATATCCATCAAGCAGATGTTGAACTCCCTATTCCAAGATTCAACTGAGCTAACTGTTAACCGATTGCAACTGTCCCTACCATTGCACAATAAAAAAGTTTTTTTCCGTATTACTGTATGCTGCAGTGCAGTACTTTGACATCATGTTTGAAGGCTTCAGAAGGCCTATGCAATCTCTCTTTCTAATTCCATACGATAGATGTGACGCTGTTCCCAAAGTTTTGGAAATAAATTTTGGCCTGTATCCAGATAACTACAAGAATCATGAGTATCATTTTGCCTAAACGATGAGAAAGGGACCCTTAAATACAGCTCGTTAAACCTTACAGAAATGGGCGTACTCTGTCACCCAAGGGTCTTTTGACTTTATTTCCCCAAGTGGCTATCAAGTTAGTGACGTCGTTTGTGGTTGGAGGCTTAAAACTAGAAGCATCCTTAAAGTAGTATGAAGTTCTACTTTTGTGAAGTGACACCATCTATATTATATTGTTTAGTTCACTATTTCACTGGTATTTGATTAAATATTTTCATCTCATGATTGTGACCTTTTAAATTTTAATCTTATTCTAATCGAGTTCTTCTCTCATACCATTTCTTTCTTATTCTTCTGCTTAAAAACTTCTACAAACATGAAGAGTTCTAACTCAAATAATTTCAATCGCTATTCCGATTGGTAACCGCCTTCTGGTAAGTTTAAGAGCTTCTGTTTTCATGCTGCGCAAACACGTTCGCTTCAGTAGCGCCACAAAGCTCTCTCTCCCCCACGCACACACACGCGCACACAACCGAATGTGAAGCACACGCGTCGCACTTACGTGAATATAATCGCATTTGCATTTGTTAATCGAGAGAACGTGCTCTGAAAAATGCTAATCGGCTGGGTGTTACTCACTCTCGCATGTGTGTGTGTGTGCTAGGACTTCAAGTCAAATGATGGAGTTTATAGCGTGCGTACTTTAAGTTGGGGGTGGCTTCAGATGTGTCGTTCCAACCATTAGATTGTCTGCTTTCCGTGATTTTGATGTTTTTAATTGTGTAAAACGCATTGCCCTCGATAATATTTGAATATATATATATATATATATATATATATATAACAAACGTCTATACACACTCTAGACTCCCCTTGAAATAACGGTTTATGCTGCATCTGAGTTGAACTACGTTTCAGGTTCCTAAAAATTGGATGTGTTCTTCTTCTTGGCGTATAGAATGAAATGAACTAACTCTCTACAATAAACAAATTCATTAATAACTTAAGATATATTAAGTCTGTTTTATTGATTATTTTTACTCGGGTTTCTTATCCCCAAGTATACCTATCTTATGACTTATTAAATGTTACAGCTGTCCTTTAGTCGTGTCAACAGCAATTTTCAGATTGTATTTAGTTGACAGTTTCATAATAAATATCTTACCTAAAAATTCACCAATCTTAACATTTCAGTATCAATAAAATTCGATTCAGCTCTTTTAGGAAAACGCTAATTCAAAATATCAATTTGCCTGTTAAAAAATATTGAGAAATTCGTCCGGTTAAGTTGAGCTACTGATGAACTGGTTGAAATGATGGAAGTCAAAAAGAATTCGACAAAGCTGATGTGTTTAAAAAAATGTGTTTTAACCTGACAAGGGCAAGAGACATGAAAATTTGAAGTTTTTGAGTAGTACATTCATAATCGATAAATTTTAATTACGCAACGTAATGTCCAAGCCCATTTTAGTTGGCTAAATCGAAATCAAGGCAATGAGACTTCTAATAAGAGTAAACGGTTATGACAATATTTGGAAGTTCCATAACTCGATGACGGCGTGATTGCTTTATATATCCCACGTTGAATTGGGGAGGTCGATCCTGTAAATGATACCCTTAATGATTATAACTGTCCTTTACGTTGAAAAGTGGCCAAATATCTTTGATATTCGCCAACCCCATGACAATGTGATATTCGAATACATAAGTACACTGTTTTACTAATTCGAACACAGTCTATACTATATACCGAGTTATTCAAAATGTTAATTTCCAATCAATGGAAACTCCAGAATACCCCCCCCCCCTCCCCTCTCTATAAAATACCCCTCCTACTGACATAACAAAGATTATGTTTTCTCAAAGAGTACTCATTTTCACGCAATTTGCTCAATGAATTAGATTATTCATTATTTAATAATTGTTTATTATTTACGGCAGTTAAATTTGCCCGTCTTCTTGATGATTGATAGCACCTAAACCCTAATTGAATTAGTTGTATGCTCGCTCAAGATTTTATGCCTATGGAAGCAAATTACTGCGATATAAAAGAGTTATTTGATTTAAACAGCTACTATTTTATCTATCTATTTTATGTCATATAGTATTACTAATAAATATCATAAAACTAGAAGATTCTAGAATAATTGAGACAGTTGCATCAATTTCGTGATTGAAAAACGTCCGTTTATTATGGTTTACAAGAACGCGAGAAATGAAGTAACTTAGGACTTGAACATGTGAAGTTCATTCTGAGCTAAGTGGATTCTAAAACTGGATTTTGAATCTATTCAAATATATGGAGTACGTAAATGATGACGGTATAGAGCAAAAAATTAGACTGCATTAAAAAGCAAATGAGGTCATGATTGCAGAGACCTCTCGATTAATCACAATGATCAATAGTCATAACAGGGTTATTGCACCCAAAGTGCATTTATTCATTAAGCCCCAATGTCGACCTGCCTAACCGGGCACGCACACGCACAGTCAAAATAGACGTGTTCCACGCCATACGCCTGTTTCCTCCATATAATTCCGGGAGCCATTCCTAATAAGGAGACCTTATCATTAGATATTACGGAGCATAAATTAGGGCTTATTCATGTAGTAATCCACTACAACTGGTAATACATTTGGCAAGGAAGAATAATCAATTGATAAAAAGATTGGAACTTCAATTTTCCTGATCGTATGCTACACTACCACAAAAGGAAAAATTAATAAATATCAGTTTAGTTATGCAAATACAAATTGTATTCACTAATGATTTTGAAGGCTGTTAAATAAACTTTTCAAATGGAAGAAATTAGATCGTGCTTGAACATAATCGTAATCAATTTATTCTTAGCAATAATATTCAAATTTTTAAGGTTTCATTTTATCTGTTCGTTTTTCACACAACTCTCACATTTTCAGTAGACTTACAAACAAGGAAGGAAACGTTGTTGACTGTGAAAAATGCGAAGTTCTCCGGAAGGTATGGAATTTCACTGAAACATAATAAGCACACTTAAATTGTGCACAATTTGTGCAAGAATTATTTGAAAGCATAAGTAAGACTGTGACTAACCTTCCAAAATCCATTCCAGTTACACAGCTCCACGCTGGTCCGTATCTATCATCCATAGCCTGTCGAACTATCGTAGCTCTCTCCTGATTTGACCTTGTTCTCCTTAACGCTCCTGAAGCAGCATCGATAGCTGTCTGCAATTTGGAATGATCAATCTCTATTTGCAATCTCTTAACATCCATTCTAGACATTTCCGTAACTATGTGTCTAACACTTGTGGTAGGATATGGTAGTTAAATTATATACAAATCGAACAGCCAATCAAATTTGGTTATTTCATTAGGTAGTCTATGCGTGTTTCGCAAGTGGGCTTTGCACCACGCAGGGTAAATGTGATAGCTTTCTGTTCGTCCATTTTCTCTGTTAAAAAACTGCGCTTACGAATAGCCCGTCGAGAGCATGAATTGTTTCTATTTAGCGATACTATTCAAAATAGGGTGTAGTCTTATCTTAAGAATACTTGAAAAAAACACATTTAGCATTGAGACAACCCTTGTGCACTCATCGATTTTAAGTATAAATGTGATGTCACGGTTCGACCAACTGAATCACACATAACGGCTTGCCAACTGCTATTCCTTGTAAGAAATCTTAAAAGGTACTACTTGAGTGAGAGGTATAAGTAACTATATCACCTTGACTTTGTGGTGATTCTTAGCAGAAATACAGGAATATTTAATAGTTTCTTCATAAAAACACATAACTATAAACAAAGCCCAAAAAACTATTTGTTTTGAGATATTTGTAATTTTATAAGTTAGTCAGTTACCCATAAATGCAGAAATTATGGATAATGATGAAATAAAATTCCATGCTCATATTTAACTTATGACACGAATCCTTTTAATTCCAATAATGAGGTGTCAGTTTAATAATTCATCGATGATTATCAAATCGGATTAACATAATTTTACTTGAATGCAGAAATTAAAGCATGAATAATATATATCAAGGAAAGTTTTATTGATTCATTAACAAAGCAAGAATACTAGCCAGTCATTTCAATTCTAGAAGGTAATTATCTCCCCACGGATCAATGAGCATTTGAGAACAATGGGGAGAGATGCAGATAAGAGCAATATAATTTTTGAGAAGATTTTTAATTTGTAATTTGAACATTCTCCGATGTCTTGCACACTAGGAAGGATACATCGCCGACGGTGAAGAAGGCAAAATGCCTTGGCAGATATGGAAGCTCGCTAGAAAGACGATAAAGTAATGAGTAAAAGGTAGGTAAGTGAGGTCGACATGTAAGAGATCAAAATTAGGCTAACCTTCCGAAATCTCTTCCTGAAATGCAGCTCCATGCTGCCCCATAACGATCATCCATAGCCTTCCTAACAATAGAAGCTCGTTCTTGATTCGAATCCGTTCTATCAAGGGCATTCTTTGCTGCATTAACAGCTGTTTTCAACTGGTCTGCATCGCAGTCAATATTAATTTCCTTCACACTCATGTTCAAACCTAACCTGACTTCACCAGTGTTTCAGTAAAAGTGACTCTAATTTAACTCTCACACACTCAAATTGTGCTTTGGAATCTGAGCTTCGTGATTGGTTTAACCTCACTCTTGTGCACGCAGATTCCAGAGCTTCTTGAGAGAATTTTACAACACCAGCTTGGTATTCATCAGTTTTTTGGTGAATGTGTTTCATACTCTTTCAAATATCAAAAATCGCTACATCCCTTGAGGTATGAACTTCCTTAACCACTCAATAAAATACGCCGATATTTACTCAACACCGAAAAAGCGCTTGAAATTCGCATTTGGAGCGCTTGCAATCAATTATTGGTTTGTTAATCCACTTTGTTGTAAGTACGCACAAATAATGGCTCTATTGATTCACACAGGTTTCCTTATTATGGCCTCGTTCTCTGTTAATAATCAAACTTGATTGGAATGAAGTGATTATGGTAAATTCCGTCCCGCCAAAAGGTGCCGTAAATAGATAAATACTGTTTCTGTTGGGTTGTTTGAGATGCAAATGTGATTGCATGTGAATACACTGAATAATGTGCATGAGAGCATTTGCACAAATGAGTCAGAATTAAGTTTCTCTAGATCTCCATAACAAGTCATGCATTTATTTTTAATTCAAGACGGTGTAAAGCAAAGAACTCATTATATGGGAAATAATGTAATTATTTTGAGAGCTGAAAGCTGAAATTTTGGAGACTTAAACAAGACCTCACGTTCGGCTTGCTTTCAGGAAAAAAATTAGTTTTATTTTGTTTCTTAAGACTACGTGTCGTACTGGTTAGTTAGCTCTTTTGGCACACTTCACTTTGAAGAGGTTACAAAATAGTTATTCCTTATGAAACTTGAGTTGACTTGTATCATCTTGTAGAAGAAGAAAATAGTGTTCAAATAGCTAATTCTAGCTTGTAATCTCCGGAATTGATGTGAAATCATTGCGTTGACTTTGCAAATTCGTCTATTAGAGTATGACTTCCCTAAAAAGTGTAATGAATATTCGTGGATTTTGCAATTGTGGAATTAGTAAAATGGCTTCAAACTGTTGATCATAAGGTGCCATATCTAAAGGGAAGTTTCGTCCATTTATTTTCAAAAGGTGGCTCAAATACAGCATAATTCCCTCAAATATCTCAAGCCCGAGAGGTTACAATGGCAAAAATAGCGATCCCATAAAAGCAAAGTGGGGGCTAGATTTTCAGATGTACGCCTTCAAACTTTACTGACATTTTCCGCTTAGTAAATTTAGCACTGATGACTACTGGCCCCTGAAGCGAATTGCTACACAAATAAGTCCTGACGTGTGCTCAATACTCTCTATGGCAGGTTCTCCTAGTTCTTAAAGTCTCCAGGGATTAGCAAAGCTACCGCAATGCTATGGAGGAAACAGACGTACTGCGTGGATAGTGTTTATTTGAATTTTGTTTATTAATCAGAGTTTTACAAGTAAATTTTAGTTTGCTCAGTGAACATTACATAGTATTCTATGTCAAGGAAATCTATTCACTTACCTGTGCTATTAAGTAATGAATTCGTTCATTCTGACGGAAAAGGAGTACTCAATTGCCGTATTTTAAAATCATTAAACAGGAATCTCAAGTTCTGAGGATTTTGAAATCCCAATGATTGGTAAGACACATTTCACACTATTTTTTATTAAACAAAAGTGGTTGAAGTAGAAGAGATGAAGTTGAATGATAGCGCTTTTACTAGAAGGTTAAATTAATTTAAGGTCTAGCAATTGCACGCTCTATCCAGTTAAATGACAAATCAAGTTAAGCTAACATTGCCAACTTCGTCTTTTTTACATTTATCAAAGACTATTTCACTTTTGATAATGCAATTAATAAAGCTCGCGCTGTTATAAATTAAAAGCGATGGTCATTATTGATCTTTGTCTCAAAGGTCAATGGATAATTGTGTAAGGAGTGCAACACACCTAAGCCTTGACTAGTACTTCACAGTCTTTTACTACAGCTTTTGACCCTTGCCACAAATATTTGTCATTGAAATACAATAAAGGCGAAGCTAACGTTGCAAAGACTATTGGTTGGCGGCTGGATGAGAGCTATCTGCACTCATAGGCACGTTTACTCACTACGAGATCAGTTTCAAATAACATCTTATAGTTTGTTCGAGTACGCATATGGTTTATTTGATCAGGCCTGGTAGCGAGAGCCTAAGACATAAAAGTTTTGAAAGTAGAGAATCGATGGTAACTCACTGTGTTACCTTTCGACTAGGGAAATACTTTTAGCATATTTTGCTGAGAGAATCCTATTACAGTTTACGCCATAGATAAAATTAAAATTTATACGAAAAATTTATATTTTATTCCCATTATCAGAATCGAACAACATTTTCCGATTATGAATAAAATTATTTGTTTGTTTATTTAACGAGAACCAAATAAATAAATGACTATACATTTGAGACCTCTCGTCTTCCAAACGCTAACTAGTTCCAAAAGGGGTTTAGATTGAACAGAAATTTATCCAATAGTTACCTAGGGGTTCTCGAAGACGGTTTAGTGTTAATAATAAGAGTGCAAGGGTCAATCAAAAATCCCCCTCTATGCAAATAATATATGAACTAAATTTGTGGTGGAATTTGAAAGAGAATTTAATTCATAGAATAAACATATTATGTAGATTAAAATCAAATTAAAATATATACGAGGCTTTAAAACAAATTTGAAAAGCACTGCAAAAATGCGAAGGCCAATTTCACTTTTGGGCTTCAAACGACCTTGAGGGCATTTGGTAAATGGGATTGGCGAGTTTCATACCAGCAACCGCTTGATCCTTCTCGGGTCCAGAAATTACTTCAAACATGGTATGCAGCTCATCGTATAATTCATTGAATGTGGGACGCCCAAAGAAGATGTAATCTCCGACTTCACTCTTTTTGAAATGCAGCCATTGTTGGCTGTGGTTAAATAGGTCAAATGCATAGCAGGCCAATTCCGGTCCAAGACTTGTTGTCACCAAGGCCAACTCTCTGAGCATCAATAGTAATCGACGGGTAGTTGCTTCATTATCTATTGGTCAAATAATAATCGTTTGAGCCTCAAAAACTAACGTTATTTTCGTGTGTAGAAATATTGCAAAATGGCTAACGTACATAACCGTTTAGTTATTTAAAATTAAATTAAAATCTTTTCACAGTTAGTGCAATCGCGATTAAAAAGACCAGCATAATATAAAAAGATTATATCTAGCGCCAACCTACATATGTTTAGTAAACGATTAACCACTACAGATATAGCCAAAACTTGGACTTGATATAAACATTATTACCTACTTAAGTGATCGCAATCGTTAATTTATTGACCTAGTCTAAATTGATTCACTTTATTTTCAGGTTGAAAAAATGAAATAAGCAATACAAGATCACAGAGCTTACTATTTTCACATTTATGCCTTTGTGATAAGTACATGTTTCAACTTAAGAATCTAAAGGTAGCAATAATTAAAAACGAAAAAATAATCAAGTTAATTTAATGATTAATTTATTGATTTCCTTTGCAAATTCTGCATTCGAAATAACCCATAAAATTTTTAAAGTGAATTATTTCTCAAAATTATTCGAGATCACAAAATACAAAATAGTCAATTTCAATTTAATACAAGTTTCGTGGTATTGCTATAGTACTTAGATCACTTACTTCGACGCATTGCTTTTCTGAACTCTAAAGAAAACCCAGGCAGTGCTGTCGCCAACTTAGCGGGAGGCATGTGTTTTAAAAGGTCCTTAAAAACTAAAATGCCAATATTTGACCAGTGATCGCTGTCTATTTGAGCATCAACCGTATCTTTCATTAGTTCAATAATTGGGCATTGTTCAATATCATTGTGCCAAGATACCTTCAATTCAGACGAACCGGAATAATCGATATGAAATGGATATACACGGTTCTTATATCGCTCTTGAAATCGTGATTTCTCAAGTGGCTTCTTAACCATGGATGGTTCTGGAGCACCAATATCCCATATTCCTTGTTCAGCCTGCATTGTGAATGCCCGCGTTTGCTTTTTCCACATAGGGTCATTGATGCCTAGGAGAGGATTTCGGCGTGGTTTATTTCCACATATGTCCGAACCCATTTGATTCATTTCGAATACCTCATTTGTTCTATCGCTAAACTGAGATGTCTTTGTTTCAGGACATATTCTTTTACGAAACTGTCTCCCTACTAAGCATCCAGATTTCATTTCTTGCGATTGTACATATACCAAATCCTACCCTCGTGTATTGAGCAAATCGATATTTGAATCACGTGGAAGCGCACAGTTTCGTGTGATAGTCTGAAGGAATTGCATTTAATTTCTTATATATTTAATTATTTATTAATGTTCGCAATTATTATTAAAAAATAGGCATGTGTGACACAAATATGAGCTTTTGAAATAACGCAAAGTGTGCAGTGCACCCTGATTACTGTAAATGTTTTGTGAAATAAAAGGAAATAAAATGAGTTGAATGTGTATAAAAATGGGATGGTTTTTTACAAATAAATTAAATTTTAGAAGGCGTAAATATGGTTATTATAGCGCAAACTTAAAGAAATCAATACTATTAGATTGTTGTATCTTATTCGGCTTTAGCAAAAATGAGTTGATTTTTACTTGAATAATATTTAGGATTATCTAATTTTGAACATGTTAAATTTTATAACTCGTAGATTGATATATTACGATCGGTTCTAATAATTTCTTTTGTGAGCGCTGCATCTGGTTGTGTGCTCATGTGTATTTTTTTCTCACGGGAGTACTTTAAATGATTTTACCTCACCAATGTCGAATGAATCAAAGTTCATACATTGGTTTGAGGGACTGAATTCAGGTGCTCCTAATTTAGGTACTCGGGATTTAAGGATTTCGGATAATGTGGATGTTGGTGATCGTGGTCTGATCGCATGCAAAGACCTCCCGGAATCTGAAGATTGCCTGCTCAAGATTTCAATTGATGATCCTCGATTAGTCCTCTCTCCGATACGCGCATTTTACCTTCTCAATCAATGCACTTGTGCTTTTACATCGTCTTGGAAGTCAACAATAAATTATCGCCTTCAACATCCTCAAGATGTATTGACTCTCTTCTTTTTCCACTTAAAGTGTTCGGCTTATGATCCAAGTTGCAAGCTTATGCAGTTATGGAAACCTTATTTTCTTATGCTACCTGAGAGCTTTACTAATGTTGCCTACGTTGCATCAACTAATTCGGAATTGATGAAAAGAATCATATCTTTTCTTCCCCCTCCTCTTAACCTAGCCTTTGAGTTACAACTACGGAGGTTGAACGATGTCTACAAACGATTATTTTTAAAACCACTTTCTCCTTTTCCACCTCTTGATTTTGCCTGGGCATGGTCAGTGGTTAATTCGCGCTGCGTTTATGTAAATCTACAAACATGTGAGCTCGGTAGTAGTATTATCGATAAATCTGTTGATTATAGAGTGAAGTTTCTTTCAAATGCTGATAGGAATATTGCAATTGTCCCTTTCTTTGATTTCTTCAACCATTCACCAACTGTATCTGTTTGCATTGATGTCAAAGGCGGAATAATGTCCCTTAAGACGGATTCAAAATATCGTTCTGGCGAACAGGTTTGTTATTACTTCCTTTATTAATATGAAGTATTTTCAGGTTTTTATTAATTACGGAAAACATGATAATTTATTCTTGCTCTGTGAATACGGTTTCTGTATTCCTAATCTGGGAAATCCTTGTGATGCGGTGTATCCAACTTATAAAGATCTTGTTTCTATTGGGAATCCGAGGAAATTGAATTTGGTTCTTAATACTCTTCAACTATCGACATCTGAGAAAGATTACACTACTTGGAAAGCAGTCTGTATTTCTCCAGAGGGTCCTTCGTATTACCTCGTTCTCATTCTCTTCGCTCTTTTCTCAGAGACAGGTGTAATGCCTTCTGAGCATGTTTTGTTCAGTTTAGATGAAACAAATCGAACTCCACCAGTGGAGCGGGGTCTCAAGAAACTGCGAAATCGTCTTCTTAAGGAAACAGACACTTCTATGAGGTTCCTGGATGCGTTGAAGGATGAGCATCCTTTTATTGATCTTACTAAATGCTTGCTAAATTCACGAATAGCTCTACTTAATTATTTCAAATGACATTGTAACTTTAGATTTTTTATTTTTTTATACATCAACTTTTTGTATACTTCGACTGCACCCTTTTTGTGTTTTGTATAGTTGAATTATCTTCTGTAGTTAATTGCGATATATATTAAATTTACGGATTCGATATAAGATGGCTATGGAAGTGATCTTTATTTAATGAATGATGTGATTTTCGGTCGTAGGCACTGTAAATGTAATTGCTGGAACTAAAATTCACTTCGATTTCTGATTGTTTTGAAGACAAAATGCTTGCTTCTGGTTCCACTGTGAAGCTCAGCGGCTACAATTGCTCAGATCCAGGAGTAGACGGAGATTTAGTCGTACATTTATTGATTGCATTAGCAAGGTATTTATGTGCACCGAATTGAGATTATTCTGTTTGGTTTTTGTATGAAAAGATTTAAACATTCATTGATGCTTATGTGAATTCCAAATTCAAAAGATAGACGACGCGTCAATAGATGAAAGGTATTTCGTTTTGAGGAAATGTCCGGTGCATGGCGAATAGCTGATTCACCTCCCATTAAACACGACTTAACCGTTAGCGCACTTGAACTGTGTTGTCTATTTGGACTAAGACGTAGAGGTTAACATCAAATTATTCTCAAGCTCCGATTGAGTAAATCTCTGTTGCGGTAAAAGATATGAGAAAAAAATAAGTCAATTTGATATAATTCTAAGTAGTGATGCCATTGCATAGTTGTAAGTCACATGTCTATTTTTTGAGTCGGGGCTCATTTGCCTGTTCAACCGTTCATTAAATATTAATAATTGCTGTTCTTACTCGTGAGATGAACCTGAAAGCAGAAAAGAGGTGGGGTATATGCTAAAAGTAATAAATGAATGAATCAAAGAATCCCGCTTCAATTTATCCATTGTTTAGTTCGCATTCCAAATTTCTCTCTCCTTCCCAAGTGCTTGTTTACTATGTCTAGCGATCACTGGCTTCTTTTTAGTATTAAAAAGGGTCGATATTTTCAAGCTTGATGTCGAAAAAGTTGGCCGCAATATGCCTATGGTTTATTTTTCTCCTATTTATCTGCTTCCAACTTGTTACTTGCAACGATATCCAGTCATATCCTGTATCTACGTTTTCCGAAATACCTGCCTATCTCACCATATTGTGCTATCCACTTTATCCCACCCCGTTCTGCTACCGAAGTCGCCCATGCCATATTTCAATAGAATCCTTTACGTCCTCTTTCAATACCCGCACTTAGAACGCGACAATATAGTTACCATTTCGTGAACATTTTTAAAAGATGAATAAGGTGAAGGATAAATAATCTTTATTAAAGTAAGACAATGAATTCTATGCGAACAAATTAAGTACAATTTCCAATGAGTTGGGCAACTGCGAAATTGTCAGTCCCAATGATTAATGGTAAAATATCAAATAATTAATATTAGGGGTAAACAGAATTCACACTGCCTTATTCAGAAGAAGATGAAGGATAATCTGTAGAACGCTTTGCAGTTGCAACGGCCTCTTGAACAAGAGCTTCGCTTCCAGGAACGAAGACATGGTCTTCGTCTACCAGACTAGCGATGGCATTCACGTAGGCATTGAAATCATCCGCGTATTGAGCATAGGCGTGGTGGCCACCTCCTTCAATTACCTGAAGGTAAAAATAAATCGTAATTAAATAATTTAAGTAGATAAGTATTGTCCTTGAATGCGGTCTTATAAAGCAATTGCAAGTCTTCTCGGGAAAGCTGATGTACACAGCTCTGTCCAAACATGTGTTGGTGTACTTTGCTGCTTAAATGGTCTCATCGGCGTTGATCGTTGAACCAGTACGTGTAGAGCCAAACCAAATACGACAAACCGCAAATGCCTTGGCTTGCATGCTAAATAAAATTTCATTCTAGAACGAAATGATTGCTGCGATATTAAACTACGTTACTTGAATTAGACCATACCCCTATTGGGAAAATAAACAGACTACAAAGCCTTAGTAGAGAACTAAGACTAATTTATGCACCCAATTTCGTACCTTAATTGACACAGGCCATTCTAGAACTATTTACAGCCTTGGCCTATACGTAAAGGATAATTCACTATTTTAAAGTACAGGCGGTAAAAGTTCAAGTCCAAAAACCAGGATGGTCGGTCCCGCAAACAAAGACCGATCTGTACGAGATTAAAAGGTAGGCGTAGTGCGGCCTCATCGGTGCATATCTACTGAACGAGATGAAACATGCCGCTGATTGGTCAAAGAGATTCAAGATGAAAAGCGAAGAGACACTTCAGTTCAACAATTAGTGATGAGTTTGACTTGGTAACTGAAAGATTAGTTTTATGCCTATATTTATAATTACAGTGATCAATATCACACACAAACAGAAGAGAATTGGGCTTTAGAAAAACATATCTTCAAACACAAATAAGAGATGAAAGCCATTTAGTAGACTCGCGATAACATGGATATGTGATTAGAAAAAAACCTAATTAAACCATGGTTATAATGCAGAGGAAAAAGCCTTTGCAGCTATTCATGCTGTGCTACTAAAGCCACTTGAACTGGTTTTGGACATGTGCGATTATGAAATAATCCATTAAAAGGCTGTTTTTTCTCCTAAACAAAAGTGGAATAGAATATTATCTATGACATTCGATTCAAAATGTACTTTTTGGAATGAAAACGTTTCGAATTTACTCAATTACGTGGATACGTATACAAATTTTACAACTTTGAGGAGTCCACCATACTCATGCTTATCTGGACCTAAACACAATGGCTACTACCAAATGTACCAGATTTTTTCTTGTACCTATTCTTAATTACATTTTAGGTGTGCTATCACATAAGACTAGGAAAATGCTGACTAGGAGACTAACAAATGAAGAAACTAATTTAATTGCGCCACACAAAACCCGCAATTGTTACCCCCAAATCGAAAAAAACGCACTGGTCTTGAGTAAATATAATTTCCTTATTTTACTAAACTGTGAGATATAGTTGAGGTGAGTGCAATCTTTAAAATCGTCTGCCCTATATCTGTTTCAAAAATGAAAAAAAGTTCGGACCTCACAAAAATGAGCTACCGTAATGTTTGACCAAAGATATTTACACAAATGTCAATTAGGGCGTAGAGATGTAGATGACCAAATGACTGACACCAAAAATGAAGGAAAATCTCTTAGTAATAACTCCAAAATAATTTCTATAAACACAGAATTTACCGTATTTTTAGTGCGTAGGCAGTAGGAGATAGACATGTATAAAGGCACTAGATGTAAAAATGTAATTTCGGGCGGATTGTTAAAATTAAGAGGGGGGGGGGGGGGGGGGGGGGGGGGGNGGGGGGGGGGGGGGAGGGGAGGGGAGGGGAGGACGTTAAAAAATTGTGCTTAACGCATCGATGAAAGAAGAAACAAAGGCATCGACGTAATCCAACTGATCGACATATTCCGTGACTGATTTGTATTCACTCCTAACCTTAGGGATCAAATCGTAATATATATATATATATATATATATATATATACTACAAACCAATATTGCGGATAAGGAGGAAATCATAAGTTCTCCTTGTTATTAGTAAAAAACTGAGCTAGTTCCAGGTTAGCGTAAACCAAACTAATTCAAAGAAACAAATTTGGAGTCAAGAGTCACCTCAAATAAAATAAAAGAACAGAATAAAATAAAAATTACGTCAAGGGAAACATCTTGGCATGTCCCCTACATTATTTTTTGGCAGAGCCTCCTTTGTGGAAAGCTCTTCGAGTTAGTTTGAAGACTTTATGATGGTTTGCATTTCTTTAAGTTAAATAGACATATTTCAAAGGGGAATTCAAAATATTGGTACACAGTCAGTTTGCTTCTTCCAATTAGTAATTCCAACGGAGATTTTCCAACAATCTTGAACAAGTAGCAGTAAAAAAGTCAATGAGAACTGATTTAAAGTACTTTGTCATTGCTCTTTCTCCATTTTTTAAAGAACCTGACATATTCGGTTCTTTTGGTTGGGGGATTCGACACAGGTTTCGATTCATTGACTATTTCAGGAATCCCTAACACTCTGCATGTTTTCGAAACACTAGTGAGAATTTTTCTGCGGATTTTACTTCAGTTCAAATATCTCTAAGGGCTGACATTGATTCTGACTATTAGTTTAAATTTCAGTTTGACGCTCTTCCTCCTGAATTCGAGTTTCTTTTGCCTATCTTCAATTTTTGTTACCCCGTTTTCACAAATATAGCATTATTAAGGACATAATCACGCAAAGTACAAAGCATTTAGGTAGTTTTACGAAAAGTGATATTCTATGGCACAGAATCAAAAGAAGCTTAATTCGTACACTTGAGTTCATCAGAATTCTATGTTGACTTATACTTCTGTTAAAATATATGTCTATTTTCCCGAAGAATCGGCAATAGATGTCAGTTTGATAGAGATTTCGAAGATCACCAAAAAATAAACATTTGAAATAATCCTCCAAAACGACAGAAGGTAGAAAAGGTCAAAAAAGTCATCCGGTCTCCATTATGGACTTTGGTAAGTTTTGAAAATTAAAAAAAACTCAAACATGTTACCAAATCACTGTTCAAGACAGTTAATTTAGCTGGAAATAGTTGAAGTAAGGAACTAAACTATTCAACTTCTAAGGAACATAATGAGAATATATGAAATTGTTTGCGTGATTGGTGCCTATTTCTAAAGCTAATAAATCTCAAAAGTCATATTCAATATCATGAATCCAATCTGCACAGTACGATACAATTTCAAAAAAAACGTATGAATAAAATTGATAAACATACCATAACGTCGACGTAGGAATTCGGTCTAAGGGTTCTAGCTTGCAAACCGGAAGACATGTCAATCCACGAACGACCACCGAAGATGAAAGTGATAGGCAAATCTGCGGCTACCTGCGGTATTCGAAGAAGCATTGGTCTGGCGGCCCAGCCTGGCATTTGGCACAAATTTCTAAAAGCTTCTTCGCCACTGGAATTAAAGAATATCAACAGAGGCTAATCATTAATGAGGGCGTTTCGACATATTTCGTGACACCAATTCTTAGGAATAGAAAATACGCTTAGGCTTTTTTATTGGAGAGAAATGAATAAATAAGACAATTTAAAGTTAATATGAAGTTCAGGAGTTACGACTACTTAAACACTAAGATGAGGAATAAAGGGGACTTACAGTTCGAACAGCGTCTCAATATTGAGAAAATAAAATCAATTCGAACCAACACCTGGCCTTACAAGTTGTAACCAGCATTTATCGTAATTCTGTGAAACATCACCCTATTACGTAATGGTGAAGACCAATTTGTACCCAATGGCACAAAGCAAACGACACTTGCATCCAACCACCTCTCTATTAGACCAGTATTTGCAAGTAGAGTCGGTAATTAAGGTCATTAGATGTCGAATTCGCATAATTTAAGATTTATATATAATATCTGCGTTTTCCTCTGCCTGACTTAAGGTAAAAATCCGAAATATCTGGTTACGAAAAGTACTTCCGCTATTAGTAGAAATTACAGTGCTTTCACAATTAGAAACCTTCCATAACATCCAAGATATAACGAAAGCTAAAGCCAATCTTACGAATGGGCACTGTAAAACACTTAAGATTAATAATTTAAGGGTTGCTGGACTTAACTTACACTTCTATGAGAATTCAGTTCACAGACAAGCACCAGAAACTTACTTTGATTTAGCAACTTAGGCGGCTTTAAATCGAACTGAAAGAATCCAAGAAAACAAGTACATTGTAGAACACTTCCACTTAACTCCCCCAATTAAAAATGTAGGAAAGGTGAAAAAGACCCAGTAGGCGATATTTGAAGGATATCAAAATGAACCGATTATAGCAATTTTGCATAAAGTAAACATAACAAGGGATTAATAAAAACTTGAATAGCGTACGTAGGGTGACGACAGTTAATGTGATATATATAGTTATAGACCACAGCAGGATCATACGGAGAAAGACCTTCAATATCACCAACTTTTGCCTTCTCCGATTTGAAGTGCTTTCCTTCCGAAGACTTGGAGTTTAACATTGAAATGTCTGGAGACTCTCTGACTAAACCATTCGTTTTCTAAAAAAACGAAGAATAAATTAGAGGCCTATAAACCATCAAAAGGAACAAACTTTTGACGAAGGAGCAGATTGGGAGTATATTGGTTCAAAATCCTGCCTCATCTTTCGTAATGCATTCAGCCCGAAAGGACCCAACATTCGCATAAATGATAGACCACGAAATGAGGTCAATTTCTTTACGAACCAATCACGAACTCCATTTTTGGAGTTATTAGCAGCTTCATCTTGCCCAACGAATCCCCAAGGATCAGCTAGAACTAAGTGAACAACCCTTTCAGGGTAGGAAAGAGCATATGACGTCGCAAGAAAACCACCCATGCTATGACCAAGCAGAATAAACTTGTCTAAATCCATATTTTTTCGCCACTCCTCGATAACTTCCACATATTTCATTTCAATTTCTTCAGCAGTTTCAGGCAAGGGTGGCCGTGAGCTACGCCCAAAGCCGAGAAGATCGAATGCATATACTCGACGCGTTTCAGAAAGACTGTCCAGATTTTTACAAAATAATCCAACTCCGGAAGCAAAGCCATGAATAAGAAGCATAGGCATGCGTTTCTCGCAGTCACTTTCACGAGCTTTTGTTGAATAATTTCGCGCTACTATAGTACGAAGGTAAAATTTCGAATCACAAATTGGAACAAAAAATTTTTCGAGTTTAGATTTACATCCTTTAAGAAAAAGGCAGAGTTAAATAAATTTAACTTGCGTTCTAAAATTTTGCTTTCCCAAAGAACAAGTTTATGATTTGATGTTGGAACCCATTTAAGTCGTTGCCAATAGGAATCGGTGGATGCATCGTGAATATCGCTAATGAAATAAGTAAGAGAGAATGATTTAAATTTACCTATCCCCGATACGAGTAGTCACCGACATTGAGCTACGGTCCATTTAACATTGACCCAAAAGGCAAGGCCGCATATCACCTATTTCGACCAATTAGAAACGTCCTTCAAATAATAAGCAAACTTAAACAAATTTTCTTGAAATTTGATCAAACTTTTTTTGACTCTAGCTCAGTCCTGAACTAAACTTTGCATAGTAGAAATGAATTCACAGCAATTACTCTATTTTGTCAGGAAATTTTATATTCTTAGCCATCAAAAATTAGTCCTTTATGCGATATTGCATTTTAAAACACTTATAATTGAGAAAAATCCAAACTATATGAAATATATATATTTATCAATTATAGGACAATATTATACTTCAATACATACTCTTTCATTGTCTTTCCTCGAGCCAATTCATTCAAATATCAAGATCTCTTTTGGTTTCTTATAGTACCATAAATCAATCATAACCACTAATTAGGTTCCTAAATTTATAAGAGGCTATCCTGAATATACTAAGGTTCGCAAATTTTTATTGGAGTAACTTTACTTACTAGCACTAAACAAGAACATTCTTCGTTAGCTTGGGTAATTCATTTTAACTAGATAAATAGCTACTAGTTATCTCTAACAGATTATTTTACATGTTTAACTACTTATTCAAATGCAATTTTTATTGAGAAAGCTGCATTTAATTAGCTTCAGGGCTCTATTATTATCACAGATTA